TATGAGTCTTTCTGGGAAGGTAAAATTTCCTTTTTCACTGGGAAAAATTGATGTAAGTAGTTACTTTCTGCGACATAAAATCATGATCATTGATGTCCTTAAGAGACCACAGGATGCTGGGCTTCATAAAGGAGAACATTTGAAATAAAATATTAGCCTTTACAGCAGAGGCTTTTTGTTTTAACCTTTGTATCCTCAGCACTTAGATGAGTGGTACATAGTAGGAGCCTAATAAATGTTTGTTGACTGTCTTTTTGTGAAGTTCTCTGTAAATGTAAAGCATATGTAATATGTAAAGCATATTATAAATGCTGGAATTTATTAAGCCCCTACCATGTGTCAGGTTCTGTGCTAAGCACTGGGGACGTGAAGAAAAGCAAAAACAACAACAGGAACAAAAAAAGTCTGTGTTCTAAAGGAGCTCACAGCAGAGAGAAAACCTGGAAGGGAAAACCTCCCACTCGGCTCCCCCTCCCTTTTTCCCACAATAAATTACACAAGAATCCTTTGAAGAAAGTAATGAAGGTATTATCATCTTCATTTTACTGTTTAGGAAGCAGGGTTATGGAGAAATGAAACAACTTGTTGTACAGATAGTAAGTGACCAAGCAAAGAGATTCAAATTTTGATCTTCTGACTTCAAATTCAGTGACCTCTTTACCACCACAAGCTAGACTTATAGCATGCCCACATCTTCAGTCCTCCTGATCTATATCTGGCCACTGAATCCAGATGGCTCTGGAGGAGAAAGTGAGGCTGGTGACTTTGCACAGCCCTGCCTCACTCAAATCCAATTCACTTGCAAGTCATGACATCACCTCCCTGATGTCATGGTACTTTTTGAGAATGAAAGACAAACAACAACCTTCGAGTTGTAGGAGCTGCTCCACTGGGGACCCAACTGGCCAGTTCCAGTTGGGCAACACAGCTCCTTCCTTCCTTCCTCCCTCCCTCCCTCCCTCCTTTTCTCCCTCCCTTCCTTCCTTCCTCCCTTCCTTCCTTCCTTTCCTCCCTCCTTTCCTTCCTTCCTTCCTTCCTTTCCTCCCTCCTTCTCTCCCTCCCTTCCTCTTCTCCCTTTGTCCACATAGGGTATCACACCCTTACCTGCTGGTGTTCTGCCCAAAGGAATGTAAATTTTGATTGCTGAAACCTCATAAGGTATCTTGGGGTTTACAGCCTAGATTTCTTTTTCAATGACTATGCTTTAAACCCAAATCACTCTGGTTCTCACTCTCACTGAATGGTCGACAATAGGTCCCAGCTGAAGCCTCATTTGGTCATTGTTTGGACTCTGATGGCTCAGAGTGAGTGCAAATAGCAATTGCTTCTGTTTTGGCCAGAAACTCCAAGGGTCTTTTCTGTTCCAGAATGATTTTTTTTGACTAGGTAAAAGAGGTCATTCTTTGCCTCATTTCTTCTTACCTAGCCTTAATCACTAAATGGGTGTTGCCTCAGACAAACTGAGACCTGGGAAAGAAAAGGCCAAGTTCTCCCACTGCATCCAGGGATATCTCCAATCATCCTGATCTATATCTTGCCACTGGGCCCAAATGGCTCCAGAGGAGAGAGTGAGGCTGGTGACTTTGCACAGCCCTCCCTCACTTAAATCCAATTCACCTGCAAGTCATGGTATCACATTCCTGATGTCATGGTTCTCTTCGAGAATGAAGGACAAACAACCACAACCACATCTGGAATGCGGTAGGCAATGTGAACTACTGTTCTTCCATTATGAAGTTGGAGCAGGTAAATAAATGAAAAACTGAAATAATTGAGGGTGTGTGTGTAAAGGTTGATGGGTGTGGACACTCTAAACTAGAACTTTAGAATGTGAAAAGATAAAATCTGTGAGAGGATATGACTTGTCTATAAAATCCTGAGGGATATGAATTTGTTCACCAAATCCTAGAATACTAGAAATACAGAAGTCTCATTTTATACAGCAGGTGGCAAGTTTATGGAATTTGTTAATTTATAGGATCAGAGAATTTAGATTTAGAAGGGGTCTTTGTGATTATCTAATCCAATTCCTTTGGCAAGTAGGAGGTGCAATGGATAGAGCACTGGGTTTGGAATCAGGAAGACTCATCTTTAGGAGTTCAAATCTGGCCTCAGACACTTACTAGCTGTGTGACCCTAGGCAAGTCACTTGACTCTGCCTCAGTTCCTCATCTGTCAAATGAGTTGGAGAAGGAAATAGTAAACTACTCTAGCATTTTTGCCAAAAAAACCTCAAATGGAAGGCACAGAGAGTCAGACATGACTAAAATCACTAAACAACAAAAACAACAATCCAATTCCTCAAATGAATTGAAGTCCATTGAAATTAATAGCAACATTTATTAAGCACCCACTTAGGGCACAGCCCTATGGTAGGCAATGGGAAAGACAGGAAATTTAGATAAGACAATCCTTGTCCTTATGGCGTTTACCATCTAGTAGACTTTGGCAGGTGGCAGAGGCAGAAAAGAAATAGACTGAAGTAAGGTTTAGATAAATTAATGAATTATTGTTCAACTGTTCAATAATAGTGCTTATTAAAACACACTAATCATTTTAGTATGATATTATTAGAGGGCATTCATGATTCTTTACAAACTGACAACATATCACTCACTGTTTGAGACATAACAGTGGACTGGAAAGAACAGAAATATGACCTTGTATGGCACTTCTAAATCTACAATAATACAAGTTTATCAGAAAGCACATGCAAATTGAGATAACTATATTCCCCACCTGACTTAGACGGCCTAAATTCATTAATAAAAAATATTGGAAAACCTGAACCCAATTAATTCAAAGCCTGTTTTTTTTTTTTAAATCCCTTGCATTTTGAATTAATGAGTTCTTACTGTATCTCCAAATGATTACAAATGCTTCTCACTTATGGTGATTACTCTTTTGGCCCTGAAACATCCACAAAGCCCATGGAACTGGTCAGCAAAATAGACCAGAGGAGGCAGCTTTTTATTGCATTATTAGGATCGCATTACAAAGTCAACAAATCATTTTGAAATCTCTTTGTTACTAGAGTTCACATAATTCCAAAGAGAAGGCATGGAATACTTTTAGACACTTTAGATAGATACTATTTGGGTATAAATTGTTGAACACAAGGTGAAAAAGCCCTAACATATATAGTTGAAGATATGCTGTATGTGTGAGAATGGTACATTGTGTTTTGAAAAGCTAAATCTATTTTATAAATATTCTCATTTTTTCCCTTTCCCTCTTTTCTATGAGATCAATATGTTTAATCAGTCATCCTTATATTTACTTGCCAGAATGAATTTGTTTCTGGTTTGGGAAATATGTTTTTCTTTACCATGTTTAGTGCTTTGAACAGAGTAGTCATACAATAAAGCAATAACAACTAACTGGTCAATTAAGAATTTTAGCTTATTTGAGTATGATATAAAATGGCAAAAAAGTTAGCATCATTGCTAGTTCAATGTCTCTCAAAACTTTCTGTACACAAAGTGTCTTATCTTTTGGAAGTGAATACTAGAATTTTATCAGTTATATTACTGGATGACTGCTTTCTGTGCTTGCAATCATATCTTCAAAGGGATTTGGTATCATCCCCAAAATAGGTTCAGGTGAAGTCCATCAAAGGACATAATGTATTTGTGTTTTAAACTGAACTTTTTACCTCTATATGTTTTGTGGAGGAGGTAATTTATTAAATAAGAAAAATGTTAGGATTTAGAAGATAGTATTTTTAAAAAGATAATAGAAAAATCGATAAAAGGAAATATTGTGTCAGAAATTAAATGTGTTCAGACCTCCAACTTCCTTTTCTTTTCAAGCAACAAAACCCTCTACAATTTGTTTGTTAACTGCCAAATTTCTAAAAAGCCTTTCTAAGAGATTTCAACGGCGACTAATCTCGCAGCATGCAGAGTGTATAGTTTGTCAAAATGAAGGGTTTTCAAGTGAAATAAAAAAAAATGATGTTTTTAAAACTGAGGTAGAATAAGTTTGGTGGTCTCAGTCTACCACCTGTACAGAATGCTTTTCACCCATGCACAACAAATAATTCAGCCTAAGTGATAGATTTTGCTCTGGAGAAGCACTGGACTGAGCTGGTTTACAGAGTCAATTACTGTTCACTCTAAGAAAAGAGTGGGATTGGGGGATTGAAGGCAGGGCTGGGGTGGGGGTGGAATGCATCCCAGGCTTCTATGGGGGGGAGGGTGAGCCAGATAAGGTTCAAGTGGCTGCCAGGAGAGCATGGGGGAAAAATCTCTTTGTGCCACTGTATGACATAGTACCTCACTTGTGGAACCTGCTAGTTCTTTAACTTCCAGGCACCAACAAAAATTCCCTCCTGCTGTGCCAAAATGGGGTGGGGGAGGGGGAAAAGGCCTATTTCAGGAAGTTACTTTACATCCCCTAGTTTTACTGTCTTTTATAGTCTTTAAGGCAAACTGGTGCCAAATACAGCTCAACCATGTTTATTTATTATATTTACATGTCTTATTTGGTAATGTAAGTGAGAAAAAAACTAAACAATGCAAGGAAACAAGAAATGGGGAACATGAGAGCATGAATTGTTGGGTTTTGTGCATAAAGCATTTCAACAGAGAACCTCATCAAAAGAAAGATAACTTCCAGTGAAAGGATTTGGAGAAAGTCAGAAGAAAACATTTCAAAATAAATGAAGTACTTATTGCTAAAAAATAAGCTTAGATTTCCACAAACTCTAAAGCTCACAATTTACTGTATCACTCATGCTTTCCTCACTAAGTTTCTTATCTCTTGTCTCATAGCACAACAAGGGATTCTTGCACACTCTCTATGAAATACAACAAGACTGTGATTTTTGCAGTAATAAACGCCACACATGCATGACAAATCCAAGCATGCAAAGTGTTTAACATCCCAGTTCACAGATACTTTGGGGACAAAAATCCGATTATGAATTATATGCCACGATAAATAGGGCTCAACGTTTCATAAAGCAATTTATAGTTCATAAAAATGACAAAATGTACCTGTCAGACAGAACGCGGAGAGCAGATCTCTGTGCGGCCTGCTGGAAGAAAGGGCAGAGATGTTTATTTTATGTTCTGACTTTTAAATTATGTGCTCAATCAACACTTAAGAAAAAAACGTGTTACACACATTTTTGTCATGTGGCCAAATTTCAAACTACCAACCAAGTAGCAGACAGTGTTACACGAAATGAACATTCCAGATGAATAAATGTGAGACTCCGTGATGTACACCATCACACAAGAGAATTGTCGCAAGGCAGATGTGGTATTTTAGGGAGTAAGAACTCTTATTTAGGTAATTTTCAGCAAGTCTAAGGATATCAAACAAAGACAAAAGTTCTCCTTTTACTCTGATCCCTTTCCCCATGTTCCAGTATTTTTACCTGTAAGAAGAGTGTCTACTTTGACTTTTTTTTTTTAACACTTCCCAGTATCCCCCACCACCCACCAAGCTATAATTTTGAACTAGCAGTCAGAATTATGGGAAGGGATCTTTCTTCCTTCATTAAACTCTGCCTCAACTTTTCTACATACCTCCTCTTCCTCTGAACAGTCTATATTCTTCCCCATTCAACTTCTTGTGGGTGGGAATTAGGGTAGGGAGAGAACAACAGACTATCTTATCTATTCTATTACTTCTAACTCTAGTGTAATTCTTAGGAGGTGGAAAGATGTTTGAAGGTCAAGATTGACTCTAGAATAGTCCAAGAAAATGTGATGTGTTTTACTTGGCAGGTTTGTTGTGCTTTACTTGATCAGTCACACAAACCAGAGCTGGTAATATATAGGTGCAAACACCTAAAGAGCATAATTGTCACTTTTAAAAAAATTTTTTTACAGACATGATAATATTTTCCATAGCAAATGCACTCTGCATGTTAGTACCTTTTTTCTTAGTCAAGTTAATCAAATCAATTCATGCAATATTTTTGAATACCCACTGGGTGCAATGTCTTTTACTAGGCAATGTGGGTGCCAAGGAAATAGGGGAGATAGTCCTTTAGTAACAGGGACAAAATGGTACCATTCACAAAATGTATTATCTTCCTATGCCTGATGACTCTTCCAATATTTCACTGCTGTTTATGTAAAAACTTAAGCAACAGGGTGGTACTTAGTACTATCTATTGCTTGCACCACTATTTTTAATAGTCTGATTTTGATTGTGCTGTTTAATTTGCATTTTATTTCACATCA